CGGAGTCGGAGGGTTTGTTTCATTCTTTCATTCCCCTTCTCTATGCTTTTGATACTTGGTTTGCTGTAGAGCTAACTTGGTCTCTTTAGCAGGTTACCATGCTGTAGCCTTTATATATTAGAAAAGCTTATGTTTGAATTTGGAAATAGACCCTGTGATTCCGCTCGTCATGGCCATACGTTATGATTTGCAAGTCAAAAAGTTTCTTTTTTTTTTGGTTATGCATTCGGTCCGAGAGTGCAGAAACAAACTGTGTTGAATGGATTTTGTGGATTCATGCAGATTTTGGATGAATGATTTTTTTTGCATGTATGTCATATTAAAGGGCTATTAAATGTTTAAATTTTGTGCCAGGCAGGGGTGGGGTGGAGTGGGGTGGGGGGTTTGAGGAGTTTTATGTCCTTTACCGGCAAGCCCAGGGGATGAGCCTCTCCTTTATTTGTAAATTGACTGTATAAAATGGGAGGGGTAACTTAAGACCTTTGTTTGAAAATTGACAGCATACTCAGGATACAAGTTGGCAACCAAATGAGGTATTTCTTGTATATTCATGTTAATCTTTGGCTCATATGATCCTGGCAAGCTTGACATATAAAGGAGACCCTTGTCCATAATGCAATAGCGTAAGGAGAATATTAACCATCAAATATGAACATGTGTTGACCATTATGTGTGCCTGCAAGTTGACATTACACACGCGCGCGCATTTTACACCACCTATTTTGTCTTCGAGACATTTTCTTAATTAGTATTTGTATACTTAACATTTTTTATAGGGTCTTAATGCGCAACGAAGGATTTCGCACTCTCTTTCCTATGGAAGATATTGCAGTGATGGGAATCTGGGAATTGTTGCCACATCTGAATAAAATCAGGGTGAATAATTACTAATGCCATTTATCTCTTAGAGCAAACTTATTTTTTTTGTTTTCTTGATTTCTTATACTGATATCATATTCAGGATGACAGATTAGATTGAAGCAAACAGTAGAAGCAGCTAGACTTTTTCAGCCTCATGTTGTCGTGACAGTTGACTCAAAAGGATTCTCTTTTCGATTCTTGAAGCAGTTGAAAGGTAACAAGCTATTACATCAATTTATCACAGCAGTTTTTATTTTATGTTGACACAGATAAATGTACTTTGTAGCTAGATATGCTTGGAAAGATGATAGTCCTGTTCATGTACATTATGTTACACCTTCATTTTGGGCATGGAAAGGCGGTGAGACTAGGCTCAAAGGGCTATGTGAATTTATAGACCATATCTTGTGTATCCTTCCTTTTGAAGAAGAAATTTGTAGATTAAATGGGTTATCTGCTACATATGTTGGGCATCCGCTTCTGGAAGATGATCTCAATTTGGATCAGGTAAGGGTTTCGGTATGATCATTTCGATTCCAATTGAGAGAAACTAGATAGATTATATATGGTATCATATATTCTAGAATTTGGCTGAACTTATTTTTTTCTCCGTACTCTTTTATTTGGGCACTTATAAATTATTAAAGGTAGCTGAAGTAAAGTTGTTATTTCATTCCATGACTGTTGGTGTTGTTGTACCATCCTTAAAGGTATTATCTGTTTGCAGGAAAGTTTAATCTGATCTGATGGCACAGTGCAACTTTCAGATAACAAAACTAGTAGTTGGAATAATGTAAACTTGTGTTTCTTGTGGCTTTGGGATGGATGTTTTAAGTAACTTTAGCTATGGTAGCATATTTGTTTATGCCTGGAGGAGGATATTTCTCAATACACTGTGAACTTGCACGTTGCTTTTTGCTAGATCTCCACAATATAACAGTAGTTTATATTATTCTTACATGCTTTGATCTTTAGATTGTTTTTTAAAATTTGCTAAAAATGTCCATTATTCCTGAATAAAAGGTACATCTTTACAAAGTCACGCATACCTACCCTTTCTGTACCTATGTTTCTGTACATATAAACATAACATATCTCTTTCTCCAGGAGCTCACTCCATTCTCACATAAACGGAAGTTCAAAGGAAATGGTGATGATTTTCTTCATAAACATGGACTCCTTCGAGGCAAGTGGTAGCATGATCTACTTTTATTTTATTTTCTTCTAGTTGGTCTGTATTGCTATCTTATCAATGCCTATAATTTTCATATATTTTATTCTGAATGTTTAATTCTTTTACTTGATTAAACTTGTGTTGCACTTCATGCGAAATTTGGGGCTTCATTATCGCTATAAATTATTCTAGTCTACCTGATCTGAACTAACCCACCAATTTCACACATGATTGATGAAAATATGAAAAAAAGGAATGTAAGTTCTGTTACATACTCTTGAATGGCAACCAGCTCCTAGATGACTAATTTCGTCATACGGCTTGGCCTAATCTTTTCAATGAACCCTTCCAATGTATGCTCCTCTTTCAGAAAAGCTGTTTGGTTTCAGTTAGGTGAAATCTTAAAAGAAGGTATTCTTGCCTCCTTGAGCTTCACTTGCTTGATCCTTGTCTTTGGTTGGCTATCATCCATTATAAACCAAAAGACTGGATGATTGCTGTATGGTTTATGATAACAATAAGAGATCTGATAACTGATACTATTGTTTTTCTGAGTCATATGATAAATTAACTGCCCACACTTGCACACAAGTTTCCGGGGTGTTGTTTTTTTAAGATTGTCATCATTATTTATTACAGCTTGTGGTGGTTTGTTTACTCATCATTTCATTTGTTTTTGTTGACTATAGTTGTCATCAATATGTTCTTGTGAGGAATATAATCATGAGACAGAAAGTTCCCTTCAAGAACTTTGCACGGGCATTTTTTTAGTTAGTGGTAGCTTTGAAGAAAGTTATGCCTCAAGGTCAAGCACCATTATTTAATGTGGAAAAATACTTCACCGTGTTGGTGTTGCTGAGGAGGCATGATTGATTTCAGATAGCTTTTAACAGAGCGATCCACCTACAATAAGGTGATGGGGGCGTGGAATCGATGAGCTAGTTTTGTTGTGAATGGTTGCAACCAATGTTAAAAATAACGAAAATGGGTTATGTAATGCTTGGCCTCCCATTAAGGGTTAAGGAAAAAACACAAAATAACGTAATGCATAATGTAGGTTATATTGTTTATTGATTATTTAGATATTTTATAAACACTAACAATTCATAATAACTTTAATACTTGGAATCAACAAACTTTTCAAACATAACATCACAATTATCAAATATAAAAATATAGTATCATGACCAACAACCATTCCAAAAAGTATCATCAAATGATCAAATACGTTAACATCGTCAAGTTTAAGGCAATAAAAATAAGTCTAAACACTTCCAAATCTCGAGTTCTTAACTTCACAAAAATATTCTAATTCCTAATCAAGTTCACTACATCAACCAAATTAAACATGATTATGTAACAACAGTGAGAAATTTTGCATATACTGAGATTGCATGCAAACTTTATTTCACAAACTATAGTATTAACTAAAAATTGAAAGCTAAAACATAATCAAAATCAAGTAATAACTTAAAGTAATCATCTAACTAACACAATTAACCCACTAATTAATCTTTGTACTCTAATTCTGTGACAGATCTTAAGTAATTATGTTGAAAGGTAAAGTAATGGAGCAACATGTTTGATATAATTTATGGTAAAGATTGGAATTTAAAAGGTAATTTCATAATTACTATTTATTTAAAGGATATAAATTGAGATGCCCAATACATAACTGAAAAATAAAAAGTTTACATCTCCGGAGTCACAGAAGGTGCCAATAGTCGGAGGAGTTTTAGAGGAGGCAAAGAGCTAGGATTTGGGTTGGAGGAGGCGAAGAGATCACATATTCGCAGGAACAGAATAGGGTGAGCAGAACTAAAAGCGGTAGGGTTTAAATGATTTGGACTGTGGTGATGCATCAGCACATCCTAATCAGAGATGAAATTAACCTAAAAAACCAGTGTTAACTGGTTATATAATATAACGCACATTAAACACAATATAATGTGTTTTTTCTGGGTTAAACAGTTTCCTGGTTAAATAGGTGTGTTACCTAACAAGAGGGCACCGTTAACTTGTAAAACGGGTGATAATTATATAAGGGTTTTTTTAAACACTTGTAGCTACCCTTGGTATGTGGAAAGTGACAAGACTAGTCTTGAAGGAAAGTGAGGCAGTGACTGGTGTTTAGCTTGTGTTGGGGATGTCTTTTGATGAGGATTGTTAATAAGGGAAAAATCTCGAGAAGCTTTGCTACAGAAAGCTCCATTATTTTTATTTTGAACCGCAAGCATCAAGGTACGAAACAACCAGTATGCTACACGGTTTAAATAAATGATTTGTCTTGATGTCTTTCAGCACAATGTATCCCATATAATGCACTGGCATAGATAAGAATGCAGATACAATAAGATTGTGTGGGTGTGCATGCAGGCATGTGTGCGGGTGCGGGTGTGCATGCAAGCGGGCGGTGGTGCGAGTGCATGTGCGTGCCTGTGCGGGGGTGCGTGCGGGTGTGTGACCATGTGTGTGTGTGCTTGTGCATACGTGCGTGTGTTGTGGGCGGGCATAATGTATCACATATAACGCACTGACATAGAGAACAGGGCAACGAGATATTGATGGATAACGTATCACATGTTTGTATAGTTGTCTAGAATTATGATCCATTGTGCATTTTCATTATTTTCCAAGCCACATTGACAGAACCCTTCTGTAGAGGTGTTTATGCTTGGCAGAGGCAATTATATGTGTACATAGTTTTCAGTTTGAGTTTTAAAACATGTGATATCTAAAGGATGACCAACCAATCATGTGACTAAAACTTTGCACACTTAATGCCTGTTAAGAGCTTGGATGAGGAGGAGAAAGTAATGGGCAATTGATTTCTTTGTCTATTTTTAAGAAATTAGACAACTGCAGTTAGTCTACAACAATTTCTCTACATGTACTTGTGATTCTTTTGTCAAGTGTAACTAAGAACTCCCTTATTCACATGGTCTAAAAACTTTATAATCATAGGTAGCATCTTACATGTGTAGTGAATAGCTTTTGTGATACTATTTCCATCTGACTGAAACTTGATTAATCTTTGACAGGAAGCCCACTTATCACCTTACTTCCTGGAAGCAGATTACAAGAGGTTACGCGAATGCTACCGCTTTTCTTACGAACAGTGGAACAAATGAAGGATGCTTTCCCAGAGTTGTCAATTGTTATTCCAGTTGCACCAAACTACCATGTGGAGACCTACATTGAAAAGGAGATTCAACAATGGTCGTTGTCAGTCTTAACAATATTAATACCCGGGGCTTCTACATATGAAAAATATGATGCATTTAGTGTATGTCAATATATCCTTACATACTCAACTTCTTGAACTTATCATAAAAGTGTGGTTCGTCATTTTCATCATAACGCATTAGTTTCTCTATTGTCATCATCTATGCATTAACTTCAATCAAGATCAGGTTTGTTATGGGGCAGAACTTATATGTTAAGGTCCACGAAAAGGATTACTATATGTGCAACTGTTTCATGTACTTCAAACTCACCTTATTTGACATCAAGTTGCTGCCCAAGGAAGCTATGGCTAACCAACCAGAAACCTGAAATTTCCTAGATTTTAGTTCGAAAGGAAGATGAAAAATCATAGAACTCATGGAGTAACACTATGCATTCTAAAAGTTTATCTATAGTGAGTACTTCTTCATTTGCAATACACACATACTCCCATACGTGTGTGCGCATGTGCATATGCACACATATAAAGAGATAGACATAGCTCCTTTAAGAAGAATTGAGAAGCAGATTCTTCCCATTTCGGAAGTGTCAAGTTTTTCAGAATGTGTGCATGCATATGAGGTGTGTATGCACACGCAGAACAAGGTTATATACACGTAGGAGTAATCGTACTAATAATTTCTCCTCCACCATGTAGGAACAAATAGTGGGACTCCAATTTCCACTTACGCATTTTAGCTTTTGAATTACCCGCTGGGTGGGTTACCTTGTACTTTGATAGAGGAAACTTTATTTGTTCCAAGGGACAATAAAGCACAATACATTATATTATGTTATATGCGCACTCCTCTGCAGAAAGACATTCATCATATGCAAGCCATAAATCTCATCATAAATGTGGCGTTCCATTAGGAGCCATTCATTTTGGGAGCGTAAAAATTAAATGTAAGAAATCTTTAACCTTTTTCGTTTTGATGATTCAGCATCCTAATAATTAATTGGGACGTTCTCAGGGTGGGTATATGGTTTTTTATTTTGTTTGCGCCATAGTATCTCAATATATGTTATTTATCCATAATGTTTTTTGTGCACATGTGCATTTCGAGCATGGCACCTGTGTTTGGGTGTTTTTGATGTTGCATGGATGTAGTCCATCTCACTCTCTCATGTTTGCGTAAATTCATGCCAACATGTTTGCATGAATATCTGGATCATCATGTTTGTGTGTATACAATCCATCTCTTACTGGGTGAATGTGTTTGTATTGCTTGTTATTATATGTCTGTTTTTCACATGACTAGTTCAGCACGGTGCCTGTGCTTGTGTACACATCCATGTTATGTATGATATAGTGATGGAATTCCTTTCTGAAATTAATCCTAAAGAAACGTTTTACCAAGACCTATTTTCTAACTTCTTTGCAGGCAAGTAATGCAGCAGTATGTACTTCTGGATCAGCTGTCATGGAATTGCAGCTTGTAGGATTGCCCTGTGTTATTGCATACCGAGCACATCTTTTGACAGAGTGGCTAATTCGACTACGGACAAAGTTACAATTTATCTCCCTTCCAAATATTCTGTTAGATTCACCTATTATTCCAGAATATCTTTTTGGTGAATGCACATCTAATAATCTAGCATCAGTCCTCAGGTAATATTTCATGTGAATTTGTTTATTATTAGTTCACAATTCCATTTCATTTTTTGTCTTATTTTTATGAAGTCACAGGGGTTTAGCCGCATTGGTCATTGTTCAAAAGCTTTTCATCAGTATAAAGTATAATGTATGGACTCACGTTAATCTTAAAGGACTGTTTCTAGCTCTATTACTACTTAACTATTTGATCTTTTGTCCTTTGTTTTAAAAGATCCACGTCAGTCTAAAATTTTTATTGGCTTCCCCTAAAAGCTTTAGTTTATTAGATGAACTTAAGTTGCTTCAGTTGGGGCCTTCTCTGCCATTAAGTTTACTCTAGTGCTAACCAGACTAGACAAGTTTTCTACCTCCTACAAGAAATGATCGAAAGTTTACTTAGGTGCATTTTCATAATCTATTATCACCTATCAGGCACTAAAAAGTCCAAATGTGTACATTAATGAATCTCTTTCATGTTGCATGCAACTTTGCTCCTTTCACCAAACCCAACCTACCCAATACCTCTCTTGGATAGTGCTGACTACCATATCTGAATTTAAGTAACAACAATTCATATGTTTACGGATCAATGAAATTTTTGATGCAGTGCTGTTGCCTTTGGATCAATGAAATATCTGATGCAGACCTGTTGCCTTTGGATCAATGAAATAATCCATTTTCAGATTATAAGTCAAGCGAATTATAATCCAAAGTTGCCAAACATGCTCTAAGAATTGGAACAATAAGAAACCGTCTTTGCCTGCTTCTTTTTAGGAGTGAAAAAACTTTGAAAATGGGAAGCCTGAAGCACAATAGAATGCAATTGCTGATGTTGTAAGTAGAGGGTATAACTAACGAAGCCTATGTTTTGAAATATGCTGCAGAAAACTGATTCTTGATGACTCTGCTCGGCAACAGCAGATTGCTTCAGCTGAGCAGCTCTTTGATCTCCTCTGCAGGCCATTATGTGGGGTTATGTCAAGTAATTGCTGCTGTCCTAGCTTAATTGCTGCATCAGCTATTTTACAGGCTCAAAGGCAGCAGTGAGCGAAATTTGGCTGCAGTTCTCTTTTGCTGTTTATTTGCTCCCTTAGGCCTTGTTTGGTAAGTGAGAATGGATTAGAGCAAGGAATGAAATGCTCATTTCCATTCTCATATTTGAATGTAATTTAGAGAATAAAAGCGGGAATGGACATATTTTTTTTTAATTCTCACTTAAATGGGAATGTACATTCTCAACCATGTTATTAGGAATGCTCATTTCTCTACCATGTTATTGGGAATGCTCATTTTCACATAAAAGGGGAATGAAGGGGAAAGTGAGAATGAACATTCTAACTTCAAACTAGAGGTTATGTTTGGTACAAAGGAATGAGAACTGGGAATTGTCATTTCATTCTCACTCATTTCCGACTCATTTCCTCGTAGCAAACAAGGCTTTAGGATTCACTTGTCCGTTAAGATGTACAACATGTTCTTCAATCCTTCATTGGCTTCTATTTGGGAGCAGATTAATCTGGTACAAGGGGATTATACTGAAATATTTGCTCCCACCAGCAGCCATACTTGTTATCTATGTATTTATAGCAAAGCGTTTGCATCAGTTTAAGCCACTATTTCTGGGGTTTTTTTATTTCTTTTTCTAAATTACAGTGCAGCAGATATTTCGTGAGAGTTTGATGAATATCCAAATTGATTTTGATGAATCTCTATTTCATACTCGTTTTAAAAGTGAGTTTGGAAAAAAAAACTTTTCATCGACAATAATATCATTGATCTTTTTAAATATTTTAGTGGTATCATATATCATATCCTCGTTAATTTTAATTAAAAGGTTTTTCGATATTAGGTCCTTTTAATCACTACTGTTTTGATATTAGTCCCCCAAATCTTCATATTTTGATACTACTCCCTCAAATCCTTTAAGGATGAGTATTACTCCATCTAAACCCAATTAAAACCTAATATCGAAAAAAAATAGAGTGAAAAAAAATATCACCAGTATATTCTGCTTAATAGAGTGGGTTTTTGATGTGTTCAATCTTTTGCGAATCCTCATCCTCGTTCTTTAGCAGTTGAAGGAATAGATTTTCAATTGAATTTAGAGATTATTAAGGCGAGATCGGGACTAGGGCTTCAAAACACCCCTTTCTGCAGGAAGCGGTAAGCGGGAGAGGGAGAAAGAGGGAGAGGGAGAGAGAACGGTTTTGGGGTAATGATTGGGGTAATAGTAACAGAAGGACTAATATCAACACACTTAACGGATTTGAGGGACTAATATGATAATATGAAAATTTGGGGGACTAGTATCAAAATAATAGTGATATTAGGGACTAATATTGAAAAATCCTTTTAATTAATAGGTATAAGCTTCAGTTTTCCGATCCTATCCTAATTAATATGTATATAAGCTCCGATTTGATTTAAGTATGTTAAAAATTATATTAAGTTATAGATAAATTGTTCAACCTCCATGTTTAAACACTTTGAAAATTACAAAATAGAAAATCTCAGAACTTACAAAATTTTATTTACTTGATAAAATAGATAAATATTTAATATTTTGATAATTTAAAGGTTTGAATTTGGTACTTAGAAAATAAAAAATATCTATCTTAATATTTGTTTCTTTATGTTTAAATCTAAAAATAAAGATGATAGATTATATTATCAAATATTCTTATCTCCTAATTTATTTTATAATTAAGGAGATAAATGTTATTTATGTGAGTGACCAAGCTTGAAAATATCCAAAATTCACAAAATTTGCACAACTAGTAGAAATACACAAAAGATATAATTTAAATATTTTAAAAAAAATCAACTTACGAAATTAGTAGAAATACCCAAAAGACTTTTATAGAATCATCTCGTAAACTATTTTCATGACTCATATGACAAATGTCAGTTTTCCATGAGTGATCAGGCTCGAAAATATTAAAATTTCATAGAATTTGAGCAACTCGTAAGAATACAAAAAAGATATAATCTGAATATTTTACAAAAAAAAAAAAATTTGACCTACAAAATTAGTCGAAACATCCAAAAGACATTCAAAAATTATATGTTTTCTACTGAAATCTAGAAGACTTTAAAATATTGAAATTTTTTATAGAAAAGTCTAAGGTCTCCGGCTCGACTCTCCTAGAGAGCACTCACAGTAATTTAATTTCTTGAAATACTGAGACCGTGAGTTAGTGGTGCTTCTTAGCCACGTCCAGGGGTTTGATATTCATAGCCTGAAGGATTGTAGGGATGCACCCTCGTCAAATCGAAAAAAAGTGTCCTAATTAAAAGAAATATCTTTAATATAATTTCATAGTGATCACATTCTAATTAATTAAAATATTTTTAATAAGATACAAGCCATAGGTAATTTTTCAATCTTCATGTTCAACCATTTATTAAGAAATTATAAAATAGAAAATCTCACAACTTAAATATTTAAATTTGGTACATAACAAGTGAAAAAAATAAAATCTTTTACCTTATCATCCCTTTCTTTATATTTAAATTTAAAAATAAAAGATAAAAATGGTTAGATGATATTATAAAATATTTTTATCTCCTAAGTTACGTTCATAATTAAGAAGACAAATCATACACCCTTTAAAAGTGTGATTTAAGAATTTTTTTCTGTGATCAATATCACTCTTAACCATTTGGGATGCTACATTGCTACATTCCAATCCTATTCTAAGTAATAATAAATAATACATTTATCTTATTATTACCAATTTAAAGAAATATTTGCTCCTTTATATACAAAGAGAAATTGGTATTTTGCTAAAGTCGTGCCTTTTTTAGCAAGTCATGCTCTCGAGCCTCATTTGAAAGTGTGGAGCCTCTCGGTGAGTGAAAAGATACCACCGGAACTTTACTTCACTAGAATGTAAAGAAAAGCTATCAATATTATACAGTCACTACTCTTTTGTTGCTTCAAGCTCTCAATTGCAATAGCTTACTCGAGTTAACATTCGCAGAGTCTAAACCTCCCATCTTAAATGTTGGGCGCAGAGTCATGCCCACCGCCGCGGAAGCGATATCACCTGAGAGAAAGCCCTGGCTTTTGTTGTCACAAAAGCACAGGTCAACCTCTATATTCTTGTTTCTCAAAGAAAACGTGAATAGATAATGAAATTCTTATTTCTCAAAGGAAACAAGAATCGAAAGTGATATATTTCATCAAAGTGAAATATACACTCTTCCTCTCATCAGCTCTAAGACCGAATATTGAGGGAACCTACAAGCAATAGCCAACAACCCAGAAAACAGTAAATACACGAGATTTACGTGGTTCGGCAAACTTGCCTACGTCCACGGGAGGGGTGAGGGGAGATTCCACTATGAGGAGAACACTGACGACTTGTACAATCCACAAGCTCGTCTCAAAGAAAAAAGATCTAATTTTTACCCAAAAGAAATTAACCTCTCTTTTGTAAATCCCTCTTTTTCTCTCTCCTCAAGATCTCTCTTTTTATCTCTCTCAACAACTGCCGCAATTTTCCTCTGCTCAGCCGCCAAAAAGAAACAAATAAACCTCTCTGACTTTTGTGATTTTCGCCTGCAGCTTTTACCCACAAGTCGCTGTTCCCACACACCGAAAAACCCTAGCAACCCCTGTTATTTATAGGGCCTGAGATCGGGTCTGGAGGAAATAAAAGTCCACCCGCTGGAACTTTTTAATCACGCGAGATGTCTCGCTGCATGCACGTGGAGGTGGCCCCACATAAACACCGTTGTTCACAATTCTCCACCTCGTACATCATTTGATAAACCTCAAATTTTGGACGAACATCAGAAGAACACCGCGAACTTCACCAGAGAGATCTGAAACACCAAAAGCCAGGCCAAACCAGGTCAAACCAGGCCAAACCAGGCCAAACCAGCTGCGCCACTTTACCGCGACTGCCTACGTACCCTCTACCGGGATCAAGCTAACCGTAGTTCAGATTTTGTTCTCCATATAGTCTCCACCTCACCCCATCACCGCCCCGAAGGGCCATGCCCTCTTGGGCAAATCAACACGGGCTGATATGAAGCAAGTCCAAGCAATGCTTAAACTTGCTACCTGTGACCACCTTGGTTAACATGTCTGCGGGATTCTCATTCGTGTGCACCTTCATAAGAGAAATATCACCTTCCTCTATGACATCCCGCACAAAATGATACCTGACATCGATATGCTTGGTACGAGCATGATGAACTTGATTCTTCGCCAAGTGAATCGCACTCTGACTGTCACACCACAAGTTCACGTTTTCCTGCTCAATCCCCAAATCATCTAGAAGACCCCACAACCATAATGCTTCCTTCACTTCCTCCGCCATGGCCATGTACTCGGCCTCTGTAGTAGAAAGTGTCACTGTAGCCTACAACATCGATCGCCAACTAACTGGAGCTCCATGTATCTTGAATACATAACCAGTAGTAGATCGCCGTCTATCTAGATCGCCCGCATAATCAGAGTCAACAAACCCATCAATCTGACACGTATCTCCACCAAAACACAGACCCATGTTCACGGTACCTTTCAAGTACCTCAGGACCCATTTCACCGCTTCCCAGTGCGCCTTTCCCGGATTCGCCATGAACCTGCTGACCACACTAACTGCTTGTGAAATATCTGGACGTGTACACACCATGACGTACATCAAACTGCCAACTGTACTAGCATAAGGAACACGCTCCATGTGTTCCTTATCTTCCGCTGTAGTGGGAGATTGTTTACCTGAAAGCCTGAAGTGTGGAGCCAATGGAGTCGCCACCGACTTTGCACTTTGCATCCCTAACCTTGCGATCACCCGCTCAATGTATCCCTTCTGACTCAAGAACAATCGCTGATTCGCCCGCTCTCTTCTAATCTCCATACCCAGTATTTTTCTAGCAGCGCCCATGTCCTTCATCTCGAACTCTTTACCAAGTTGAGATTTCAATCTATCTATCTCCACCCCGCTCTTAGAAGCAATAAGCATGTCATCCACATACAAAAGGAGATAGATATAATCACCTCCACGAAGCTTCCGAATGTAAACACAACAATCATAGTCGCTTCGGGAAAACCCATGCTTCAGCATGAAGGAGTCAAATCGCTTGTACCACTGCCGAGGAGATTGCTTCAGTCCATAGAGTGACTTCCTCAAGCGACATACATGATGCTCCTTATTCTCAACCTTGTAGCCCTCAGGTTGATGCATGTAGATCTCTTCATCCAAGTCTCCGTGCAAGAAAGCTGTTTTAACATCGAGTTGTTCCAGCTCAAGATCAC